CTTAAAAGCCTTACCAAGGCACACGAACACTTCTGTTCAAAAATCGAAACTGAGTTTTATTTATATTTTTTTCCTAATGTTAAAAGCTTAGATTTTCCTATATATATATAGTAAAATCTATATACATCCATTACTACTGGCTACCTAGCCTCGTCCCGTATTCTTGTCTGGGTGTGTGATCATATTATGCACATCTCGTGTGACACGCACACACGCCCGTTATTAGGGTTCGTGTAACCCCGCTAAACCTTCCCCCATTAGAGCGTTTACAGTTCCAATCAATCATTGCCTCAACGAAGCTCGCGAGTCCGTTAAACACTGCAACTCCATTCGTCAGAACAAACAACTTCCGTGCTCATTGAGCCTTGTGTCGATGACACCAAAATCCCAGTTCTGACGGCGAGCATGGGCAGAGCCCAACTTTATCTTCCGCACTCGGTGCAACGTCGGACAGTGCGTCCGCAGCACCGACTGGTGTATATCCTAGGCTGGATGAGCAGAAACGTCGCACTCCGCGCACGCTTTCAGTGCCGAGTGGCCTCGTTGAGGATGTGGTCGACTATGAGTCTAACACTCCTTTTCCCGCATGGGATGACGAGTAAGGCGAGCTGCGCCAGCAGCGTGATACGAGCCCTGCTCGCGCCTTGCAGGCCCATATCCGTTCCCTGTCTTCTCGTCAACCGAGGAACGTGGTGTAATCACAAATGATCTCGACGGGGCTCAGAGGCAGCAGCTGGAAGCTGCTCATAAGGCGGCTCTGAAGCGCGCACAACCACGGTCGGTCATTAACTCTCGTCTGAAATATAGCGTTCGTCCAGCGGATCCCGCTGTGAAAGCAAAGGACGCGGTAACTCGATCGTTACGCGTCCACATCATCGGGTCCCCGGCCAAAACGGATGATGAACTCGGAAAGCTCTTCGAGCTCGTTTCTGCCACACGGAAAGCCCTTCGAGCTCGTTTCTTGATCCCACAAGAAAATCCGTTGGAAATTTATCGCACTCGTCTGAGTGCTTAACGAGGTGGCTCTCGAGTACCCGCAATGCGGACAATACCTGTAGTGCTTGTCTCTGGCGAAAGCGCTACAGATGATGGAGCGCTCTTTGAACGATGGGTGCAACGGCACCAAAACCTTCTCTCACTACATAACCTACAGTTGGGCCACAAGGAAGTGGACGTGCGTGTGGAGCGACAATTACGCTTTGAGTTTGGCAAACTCAAAGCACGCCGTCGACTTCCTTTGGACTGTCGCCCTGCGACATATGGACTCAAAAGCCCTAATGCTCCCGCGAGCTCTGTGTCTTCGACCGCGAGAGCTCAGGGTCACGGCTTGAGCTCAGGGTCACGGCTTGAGCTCAGGGTCACGGCTTGAGCTCAGCTCATGGCCCTACTACTTCCCTGGCTGTTGCTGAGAAGCGCGGGGCGTCCTGATCTTTCCATCAAAAGAGTCCACGCCGACTGGGCAATCTTGCCAAAGTGGCGCCTCAAACTCCCACGAGGGATATCCCCGACACTTCACAAGATATTGGGTCTGACCCTGGTGACGATGTCGTCGTACAAGACGTTCCACGTGATAGTGGACGTCACCGTTCTCATCGAGAAGAGTCGGTGGCG